AGGGTGACTCCTAGACTTCTTGATAGATATAGGTGACTATTGAGGCTCATCATCTTCCAAGTGCAATTTGCCTTATTCTTCCTTGAATCTATCACACCCACTTCATTAGGGTGCATCTATGATGTGACTTGGTGACCAGGAAGGTCTTGGGTTAGAAATACTGCCCCGCAGGGACCTCCTGTTGCACCACATGCAGCCTACTCCTTCCAACTGGCTTTCCTCTGCTCGTCCATTTCACAGCTGCTCCATGGCTGTGCTCCCTCCTGCCTGGCCTTGAGTTCCTTAAGCATGCATACTTTGGGTAATGTTTAAATATTCAGTAGCCCGGCCAGCATGGGCTAGTGAATATTTAAACATTTCCAAAGGAATGCATGCTTAGGGAACCAGGAGGTCACAGTTCGATTCCCGGTCACGACCCCCAACGTGGGGCGTGCAGGAGGCAGTCGATTGATGATTCTCATCATTGATGTTTCTATCTCTCTCTCCTTCTCCCTTCCTCTCTGAAATCATAAAATGTTTTAAAATAAATAAATATTCAGTAGCACAATTGATTTGCCAGGGTTCCATTCCTGGCACCTCAATACCCAGAGGACAGTTCAACCCCAGATCCCTGTTTTCTGTCTTTCATGCAGGTCTCTTTTTAGGCCTGGCTTTTGTTTGTGGAATCCTAGGCTAGCTTGACAGGTACTGTCTTTGCTTGAGTCTTTCCGTTCTCCCCCCTCCTAGACAGATGTCACACTTCTGGACCTCTCCAGGCTTTCAAACTTTCTTTCACCTTTTCACACTGTTACCCCTTCCTATTGCATTCTGAAAGAACTTTCTGGAATGGAACTCCATGAGGACATACATGATGAAACCCTTAGGTCACAGTCTGGCACAGAATGGGTGCTCAGTGGGTAGACGTTAAGTGAATGTGTTGAATGAATTCTTAGCCTCATCTGCCAGCTCTTCAGCTGAGTTGATTCTGCTCTTCAGCCCATTTCTTATGTTATCAATGTCAACAATTACGTTTTTCATTTTTTGAGAGTTCTGGTGTTGGAGGAAGCTGGAGGTAATCAAGAATAGGCTTGGGCTCTAGCTGGTTTGGCTCATCGGCCTATGGACTGAAAGGTCCCAGGTTCAATTCCTGGTCAAGGGCACATGCCTGGGTTTTGGGCTAGATCTCCAGTAGGGGGTGTGCAGGAGGCAGCTGATCAATGATCCTCTCTCATCATTGATGTTTCTATTTCTCTCTCCCTCTCCCTTCTCTGAGATCAATAAAATTATTTTTTTAAATACATTTTATTGATTTTTTTTTTTTACAGAGAGGAAGGGAGAGGGACAGAGAGCTAGAAACATCAATGAGAGAGAAACATCGACCAGCTGCCTCCTGCACCCCCCACTGGGGATGTGCCAGCAACCAATGCACATGCCCTTGACCGGAATCAACCTGGGACCCTTCAGTCCGCAGACCAATGCTCTATCCACTGAGCCAAACAGGTTTTGGCATAAAATTATATTTTAAAAGAAAGAATAAGCTTAGAATATATAGGAATGCATCATATCTGTGTTCTCAAAGCATTTTGGTTAGCTGTGATGATCTGAAATCTAACCTGAGAAATAAATACGGCCCAGATCTCTTTAGGGATCAAGCAGCAAAGAGCAGGGCCTTCCTGGTGACAGAAGACTCTCTTGGCTAAAGAGACCAGGTGGTGGCTACACTGTTGTTTACCTAGTCCTCACCTGGCCTCAAATTGATGGAATAGAGCCAAGTCGCATGGCTCAGTGGTTGAACATCAACCTATGAACCAAGAGGTCACAGTTCAATTCCCAGACAGGGCACATGCCCGGGTTGGGCACTTGGTCCCCAGTGTGGGGCATGCAGGAGGCAACTGATCTTAATGATTCTCGCTCATCGATGATATTCTCTCTCTCCCTGTCTGAAATCAATAAAAATATTTTTTAAAAATTGATGGAATAGAAGCAAGATGGCAAACACATCCCCTTTCACTAAAATGCCTCTTACCAGACATTCTGGAGACAGGTCACTCTATGTATGCATGGGCCCCTTAGCTGGCATCATCTTTGGTCACTGCATGAGTTCCCTGGGGTGCCATGACGAACTACCACAGATTGGGTGGTTGTAAGTAACAGAAACATTGGGTCTCCTAGTTCTGGAGGCCAGAAGTCTGAGATCAAGATGTCAGCAGGGCTAGCTTCTGCTAAGAGCTCTGGGGGAAATCTCTTCTACCTTCTGGTGAGTACTTGCTATTCCTTGGTTTGCAGATGAGTCAGCCTGATCTCTGCCTTCACCTTCACATGGCCATCTTCTCTCTATGCCTGTGTGTCTGTGTCCAAATCCCCTCCTACTTACCAGGACACCGGTCATTGCATTAGGGTCCACTCTACTCCAGCTTGACCTCCTGGGAATGTATATCTTTTTTTCAAATATATTTTAAATGGATTTTTAGAGATAGAGAGGAAGGGAGAGGGAGGGAGAGAGAGAGAAACATCAATGAGAGAGGAAGTCATCGACTGGTTGCCTCCTGCACGCCCCCCATTGGGGAATCAAGCCCCCAATCCGGGCATGTGCCCTGACTGGGAATCAAACCAGCGACCCCTTGGTTCCTGGGTCGGCACTCAACCACTGAGCCACACCAGCCTTGTGTAATGTATATCTTAACCACATCTGCAAAGACTATTTCCAAATAAGGTCACATTCATAGACCCCAAGCATTAGGACTTAAACATACCCTTTGGGGGGCCACGATGTGACCCAAATAGTCACCATCAGCTTCCAAATTAGATGACTTAGATGACCAGACAGTCAGAAATAGACCATCCTCTCATGCTAGGAACAACCTGAGTCTTCCTCCATTCACTTTGTAGAATTGTGAATGATAGGAGAGAAGGTGTTGAGTCATCCGGGTGACACTTAATGAATACCTTCCTCTGAATGCCCTAAGCATCCCCTTTAGCATAGCGCTAAACAACCCTTCCTACTCTGCTGAATAACACTTTCTGTCCTGCCAGTTTCGAAACTGCATCTTGCAGCTTTTGGGAAAGAAGGTAGATGATAGCTCTGAACTCTCCAGCACCTCCAAAACAGAGGCCTCGTCTGTCTCTTCGGTGTCACCTGCATGAGTCTCTCCCAGCCCCAACCACAAAGAGATCTGCCTCCTGCCAGAAAATGTCACCCCTGTCCCACTCACCAGGGCTTTGACCATCACCGCCACCATCCCTTCTCCATCCTGTGAAGAAAATGTAACTTCTCTTTGCCAGAAACAACCAAGTCACAGAGGGGGGGCCTGAGCCCCCGGGTGTTCAGTCCCTGGGTCACTAGAGGGCACGAGGGGTTTATAGAGGAGTGCAGCACTGTACTTCTGGAGACTTTAATCTTTTCCAAAGTCTGCAGATGATAAGGAAGGATTGTGAGAAAGGGAACTGCGGGCTGGGTGGGCACCCACACACCTCTTACGGGCCTGGTGTTGACAAAATCTGAAAGCCAGATCTAAGAAGTGGCCTCCTGGGGAGGGCTGGCTGGATGCCCTGATGCCTGGAAAAGAGAGGAGCTGCCCACCCAGACCCTTTAAGGCCCGTCTGGCAGAAGCTTGGCATCCTTGGAATACAGTCTCCATGTGGAAGCGACCCAGACCTGCCAGTCCATGGCAGAAATGGCATGCCAATTCTGCCAGGCCAGGATCCCAACCCCGACCAGCACGATCACGGTGCACATGCGCAGGCGCGACTTCAACAGTGTCAATGGAAAGGCACACCCGGTTGAGAAGAAGACCAAGAAGATGGTGGCCAGCATGAGGAGCAGGTTCAGAAATCGGAACACAAACTTCCGGGGACACTGTCTGAGATTCTCTGTCATCTTCGCTTGCGTCACTTGCTGTAGAGTTTCCAGCTTGGATATGCGACACTGGAACGTTTCCATGACCTCCTGTAGGTGATAAAAACACAGGCCCTTGCCAGAGGTCAGAAGGAAGGTGCGGACATTGACCTGAGTGCCTAAGGGTTGCACAGCAGGTGTTGGTGAGCTGAAGATTTAGGAGGGAAGCTGAGAGCCTACAGCACCTATACGCTGAGGGCCCTGTCCTGGGAGGGTCCATGTTTCCCAGTAACAGTGAAGGTCTCATCTGACTTGATCCTCATCCAGCGTGGTCTGAGAGGTGTAAGGTCTGAGCAAGGTCAGGTGTAAGGTCTGAGGGTGTGGAAGAGAGTAAGGCTATCTCTCTCAGGAGAGGGGGATCCATCACCCATGCTTGCCGCTCCAGGGTCAAAAGCAGGGGTTCCCAGCTGGTGTTCCCTGCACCCCCAGCAGCTCCTGGGTACAAATCAGTTCCCTTTACAGGTGGCTCTGGGCTCAAGGGTGAGAACTGCAATGCCCAAGTTCCCAGATCAGTTAAGGTGGGGGGAGAGGGGAAGTGGAGCATGAACATAAAGATTGGGCCCCGCCAGGTCTCAAACAAATGTGGGGGTTGCCATTGAACCCTCAGTGGGGGTACAGCTTGAATATCTGTCTCTTTCCCTGGGTTGGAGGTTGCCAGAACAGATTCTCTCATCCTTGGCTTCTCTCCTCCCTGCATCCTTCTCACTGGTCCTTTCTCAAAAAGCTCCCCCGGGAGGAACTCACCCATATTTCCTTGGCTTTTTCGTAGGAAAGATAGGCCATTTTCTCTTCAGCATAGGACAGACTCTGTTTGAGGCAGTAAATTTCATCCAGGTGCTGCTGCAAGTGTTCGTTCACCAGTTCTGCCATCAGTGATTGCCTTGGGAGCAAAAGAGAAAGTACAGTAATACACCCTGAGTACCCCGCCCAGAGCTTGTGCTGGCAATGAATGGTCCTCCATCCAGACTAGACTTGGGTGTTCACTTCGGCAGCACGCCTATCATAATAAAAGTGTAATATGCTAATTAGACCGGACAGCCGAACGACCTTCCGGACATCCGTCCAGATGATCTTCTGGACGAAGCTGTGGCTGCGAGGGCTGAGAGCCCAGCCCCTTGCATGAATTTCATGCATCAGGCCTCTAGTACACTAAAATTGGAATTATAAGAGGAGATCAGCATGGCCCCTGTGCAAGGATGACACGCAAATTCATGAACCATTCCATATATTTTTTTAAAAAGACTAGACTTGGGTTTAGGATCTGCTTTCCTCTTCTGGCCCTCAGCACCAGTCAACCCCAGCCTACTCTTCCAGGTCTGCGCCTCAGCCACACCCACGCCGACAGTCACGTTATCTCCTATATACCATCCCCCTTTTGTAACGGCTTTGCCAAAATAGAGATAGAGTAGACGTTGTAGAAATCAAGATCTAAATTATCCCCGTATGCTATTAAATTCCATATGTATTCCCAGCGCCAGTGTTTGGCATGCAGTAGTTATTCCATAAAAATCTGTGGGTTCTAGAGATGGAGCAGCCAGGAAAGACCACATAGTATATGCTTCTATTTATATGAAATGTCCAGAATAAACCAATCCAGAAAAAACGGAAAGAGAATAGTGGTTGCCGGAGCTGGAAAAGGGGAAGGTGCGGAGTGACTACTAATGGGGACTGGGGTTTCTCTTTGGAGTGATGACAATGTTATGGTCTGTAATGAGATAGTGGTGATGGCTGCACAATTCTGTGACTATATAAAGACTACTCAAGTGTACACTTTAAATGGATGCATTTTGTGGTATGTGAATTATATCTCAATAAAGCTATTATTAAAGCAAATAAGTAGAGGATTGTGGTCATGGTTGCACAACTCAGTAAATTTACTAAACATCATAAAAATGTACAGTTAAGACAGTGAATTTTATGGCACGTAAACTATATCTCAGTGGATCATTAAAAACATATAAACGAGCCTGGCAGGTGTGGCTCAGTGGTTGAGCACTGACCTATGAACCGGGAGCTCATGGTTTGATTCCCAGTCAGGGCACATGCCTGGGTTGTGGGCTTGATCCCCAGTGTGGGACATGCAGGAGGCAGCTGATCAATGATTCTCTCTCATTGTTGATGTTTCTATTTCTCTCTCCCTCTCCCTTCCTCTTTGCAATCAACAAAAATACATTATATATACATATACATATACATATACATATACATATACATATACATATACATATACATATACATATTAGGATACATATATATGTATCCTAGTATATATAAGATTTGAGGCAAAAATGCTAAATGTGAAAATTTGAGAAAGATCGGGGGTAGGTATACAGTGTCGATCATGTTATTCTCAAATTTCCCCTGGGTTTGGAATGTTTCATAGTTTAGAAAAATCTCTGAGGTTCTTCATTTAGGCAACAGGAAGGACAGGGGGCTTCTAGAACTTTCTTTTAGGGAATAGCTGAGGAAGGCTTGACCCAAGCCAGGGGCAGTGACACCGGAGAAGAGGAAAGGTACCAGAGAGCGCTGGAGTCCAGGGCAATGAAGGACCTGCACAAGAACATAACCAATGGTGCTGTCATCCGGACAGGGAATGTGAGGCAAGGAGGCAGTTTGGTCCTATTTTGAGAACTTCACTGACACCTACGTGTAGACATCCCCCAGGCAGCTAATAAGCTGAACCCTCATTTGTTGAAAGCCAAGTCATCAAGCGCTGATTCATAGCAGTGTTTCAAGGAACATTCCATTAGTCTCTGCCCTGCTTCCTGTTGAGAAGAGAATGGGCTGACAGCATGGCTGAGGCTACTGCCTACAGAGAGGGGGAGAGGCAGGGTGCTGCCCTGGAAGTACATACCCCATGATTATCTTTCCATTACCGGGAAAGATCTAGCCACAAGAACATTTAAGATATTAACTGTATTCAAGTATGCTTTCATGAATATATTCTCCACGAATACGAAGGAAGTCAATGAATAGATTCTTCATTAATGTATTTCTAAGAATGTCTTAATATATTCCTGAATGTATTCTTGAATAATTTAGTGAATAAGAAGATGTTAGTTCATAAGGATATTCTCTTGGTCTCTCCTTCCCTTGCCCCCAGCCTCCCTACCTTCTGGTAGCAGTGCCCCGGCCTCGGCACAGCTGCCTCTTCTCATTATCTCTTTTTTAGTCAAAGACCCCTCTCCATCCAGCTCCTACCATCACAGAGGCAAATGGAGCACTCTGAAAAGTCTTCTTTTTTAAAATATATATTTTATTGATTTTTTACAGAGAGGAAGGGAGAAGAATAGAGAGTTAGCAACATCGATCAGCTGCCTCCTGCACACTCCCCACTGGGGATGTGCCCACAACCAAGGTACATGCCCTTGACTGGAATCGAACCTGGGACCCTTCAGTCCACAGACCAATGCTCTATCCATTGAGCCAAACCAGCCAAGGCTGAAAAACTTTCTTATGAAGACAGAATGATGACCAGTCAACCAAAATGTCCCCTAAATCTCCCAAAGCTGATAAGGCTGCCCTCTTCAATACAAATTATCCTGAACTGTATTGTTGTGAAAGATTATACTCTTTTTTAAAATACATATTTTTTATTGATTTCAGAGAGGAAGGGAGAGGGAGAGAGATATCGAAACATCAATGATGAGAGAGAATCACTGATCAGCTGCCTCCTGCATGGATGGAGCCTACAACCCAAGCATGTGCCCTTGACTGGAATGGAACCCGAGATCCTTCAGTCTGCAGGCTGGTGCTCTATCCACTGAGCCAAACCAGCTAGGGTCAAAAGATTATACTCCTGACTATACCTGAGGATTGGCTTTTGGGCAAATTGACTCTGCAGCCTAGATGAGAAATCTAAGATAGAGAAACAGATGTGGGGGCGGGGCTCAAACAGTAGGGGTACGGCTGGGGAATGCGGCAGAGTGGGCAAAGCTCCTCCTGAGCATATGTGGACCCTAATTGCAATCACACACATCCTGTAAGAGAGAGACCAGCCCTAACCGGTGTGGCTCAGTGGATAGAGCGTCGGCCAGTGGACTCAAGGGTCCCAGGTTCGATTCCAGTCAAGGGCATGTACCTTGTTTGTGGGCACATCCCCAGTGGGGAGTGTGCAGGAGGCAGCTGATTGATGTTTCTTTTTCATCGATGTTTCTAACTCTCTATCCCTCTACCTTCCTCTCTGTAAAAAATCAATAAAATATATTTTTTTAAATTTTTTAAAAAGAAAAAAAATCAACCCACTACACAGTGGGGAGATGGCATTCCCCAGAAGGCAGTCATTTGCAGAATAAATATCCCGGAAGTGATGTTGTACCCCAGTTCAGCCATGAGCACACGTGAAGGGATCAGGGCTGTCGAGCCGACTCCAGTCCTGTCTACACACCATTCCAGCAGACAGGATGGCAAAGCGCCTGCCTAACTGGTGAGCGTCAGCTGGGCTCACGGCCACTCGGGCTATCTCCTGCCATTCCAGCTAGAACCGCAGCTGCCAGACCGCCCAGTGGAGCCTAGAGCTGGAGCCTCACTGGCCAAGCTGGTGTGCAACTGTGGGCAGGGGGTCAGCCCTCTTCGCCGCGGGGGCCCGGGCACCAAGAGAACCACTGAGCTGCTCTCTTCAGCTCCCTTTCAGCTCTGGCAGACAGTCCTGGGGGCTGTCCCCAAAGCCAAGGTGGCAGAAGGGGCTCCTCCTCACCTGCATTTCTCCTCCTGAAGGCACTCCAGCGACATCTGCAGGTCTGTGAGGTACATCTCCTTTAGGCTCTGATAGGACATCTGGAGGCCAAGGTGGACTTTCTGGGCTTCTTTGAGCTCTTCCTTCACCTTCTGCAATAGCAAGTTTGCTTTCGACTCTGGCAACCTTGCCGGTGACCTCTCCTGCTGTGAGGCCGGCAGCTGACTGTCCAGTGGGAGGGGCCTGCCAGACGAGGTGGTGGCTAAGTCATCTTTTCCACCTGGCTTGGAAGACTCTAGAAACGGGGCCTTCTCCCAGGGCTGCCGCCCATTGTCCGGGCTGCTCTCCTCCTTTGCCACTGAGCTCTTGGGCTGGCAGCCCCTCTGCAGCTCCTGCAGCTGCTGGTGACACTGACGGAGCCTTCGCTCTATCTGGGCGATGGTGGCAGAGGCCCGCTGGTTCACCTTCTCGAAGGCCTGGCGGATGTGCAAGGCCTGGCGCCGGTCGGCTTTAGACACCAGCTTGAGGTAGCTCTCAGTATTCTGGTCCCGGCTGGCCTTCTCCACTCTCAGCTGCTCTAAGAGGTAGAGGGTGCGGTGCTTGATGCTCTTCTGTAAGTTCCGGGCCATCTCGCCATGCAACAGGCTGGAGTGGCCGCTAAAGCCCTCCTTGCTGGGTGACAAGGATCTGGATCTGCACGAGGGAATGTTGGAGGGGAAGATTGCACGTGGGCTCTTGGTGTATTCCTCCTGCATTGGGAAACAAGTAAAAAATCAGGTACTACTCCATAAGCTGCAAATGGTAGGAGAACTGAACACACGATTGCCTCGCTCTACAAAAATACTTACACGTATGCAGAGATATCATACTTATGTGTGTTAAGATTTATGCGTTTGAGATGGGCCCAGCACAGACCAGAGAAGTCAGTTTCGACTTCCGGACCCCTCTCCCCTCCTTTTCAGCACTGACTTCCTGCTTTATGGGTGTACCTCACAGCACCTCAGATGGCTAGATTACTCTCTCCACACACACCCATTCTGTTCCTGGGATTCCTCTCTTTCAAGAAGGACCAACTGTGCACCTCATTTTATTAAAAACTGATCTTGTCCTAGATGGTTTGGCTCATTGGAGAGAGTGTCGGCCTGCAGACTGAAGGGTCCCAGGTTCGATTCCGGCCAAGGGCACATGCCCGGGTTTCTGACTCAATCCCCAGTAATGGGCGCGCAAGAGGCAGCCAATTGATGATTCTCTCTTATCATTGATGTTTCTATCTCTCTCTCCCTCTTCCTTCCTCTCTGAAATCAATAAAGAAATTTACATATATAAACTGTTCTTGTAAAGTAGGGAATAAACTCATTCCCATTAGGCCATACACCTTGCTGTATTGCTACTGCCGAGCAGACTGAAGAGATAGCAGACTTTTAGTGGGTTTGGGTTAGTGCAGTGGTGGGCAAACTCATTAATCAACAGAGCGGCAAACCGCAGCTTGCAAGCCGCATGTGGCTCTCGAGCTGTAGTTTGCCAACCATTGGGTTAGTCGCAGGAGTCTTCAAACT